CTGGGCCTGGGCGCTGTCCCTCAGCTCTTCAGCTCAAGGCTAGCGCTCTACCACTTGAGCCACAGTGCCACTTCCGGCTTTTTTCTTTTTTTGCTTATGTGATGCTGAGGAATCGAACCCAGGCCTCAGGCATGCAAGGCAAATGCTCTACCACTGAGCCACCTTCCCAGCCCATCTTTTTGAATTTTCATGTCTTTAATTAACCTATTGGATTCTCTAAGGGGAATTCTTAATTTTGGCTTCTTTTTTTGCCTCTCAAGAAAATGCAGTGGAGATAAATTCAGAAAATTAATAGCCCTCTGGACACTATGAAGTACTAAACCTCTTTCTGGCTACATTTTGGAGGGAAAGTGGGTCTAGTGAAGTATGGCTAACACTGTAAGGCAGCTTTAATTTTTTATTTTGTATTTGAATATTTAATTGTAACTAATTCTAATTAAGATGTTATACAGAGGAGTTACTGTTTTATAAGTCAAGTGATAAATATACTTTTTTGTGTGTATGTAGACCATGGAGTTTGAACTCAGGGCCTGGACCCTTCCCTGAACTCTTTTCCTCGAGGCTAACACTCTTCCACTTTGAGTGGCAGTTCCACTTCCAGTCTTCTGTTGATTCATTGGAGATAAAAGTGTCACAGATTTGCCAGTGCAGGCTGGCCTTGACCCACAATCCTCAGATCTCAGCCTCCTGAGTTGCTAGGACTACAGGTGTGAACCACCAGCGTCCAGCATGAGAACAGTTCTTTTTTGACAATGTCACCCCTTCTTTTGCTTTCCCCAGTTTCCCCCTTCCTGTTCCTGCCCACAAGTTGCATAGTTCATTTTAATTTTCTATCATTAAGATACCTGTGATTATGTACACTCACTTATGTATAAGACACTCACCCCTCCAACCTTCACTCCAGTGTTTTAGGTTTTAATGCATTATTATTCACTTAAAACGCAACATCTGAAAATCAACAGGACTTCTTGTTCACTCATTGGCCATATATTAAGCATCTATACCTGTTCTATTGAGAGAACTAAATCATTACCCTACTTTTTTAGGTATAGACTATTTCAGTAGGAAAAAATAGGATTTATGTAGTACGTACCATAGAAAACATAATCCGGCCTGTCACTGGTGGTTCATGCCTAAAAACCTAGCTACTTAGGAGGCAGAAATCTGAAAACAAAGCCATACCCTCCCCCAAATAAAATCAGAAGTGGTAATAGTACAATTACTGTGATATTATATAATAAAGTATTTTTATGTCCCCAACTCTAGGTCAGAAGGGTAAATCCCATTAGCCTCAGCTGAAAATTCTCAGACATGAAAAGATGTATTACTACAGAAAAGGGCACAAACTAAGTAAGAATTAAAGCTTTCTGAATTCATTGGAGGCGGGGTGCATACATGCACCAGTACTGGGGCTTGAACTCAGGTCCTCGAGCTCTTATTTGGATTTTTCACTGAAGGCTGGTGCTGTACCACTTGGGCTGCACCTCTATTCTAGCTTTTTGCTGGTTTATTGGACATAAGAGTCCCTTAGATTCATCTGCCTTTTTGCTTCAAACCAAGATTCTCAAATCTCAATCTCCATGATAGTAAGGATTACAGGCATGTGCCACCAGTGCCTGGCTAACACTTCCTAATTCTTATTTATGGTTCTTCCAAATCTTTCAGATGATGATAATTTTTTTTTGAGCATTGAACTCTATTGATTCCATCAGAAGACCTAGCACAGGGCTGATTAGTTCTAACCAACAAATCTGAAGTTATCTCTATTTTCTTCTTTACTTAGGTATTTTATTGCAAGTTATTGGAAGAAGCAAACAGGGGCTCTTTTCCTGCAGAGATGGTGAATAAAATCTTTTCTAACATTTCATCAATAAATGCCTTCCATAGTAAATTCCTCTTGCCAGAGCTGGAGAAACGAATGCAAGAATGGTAAGAGGAATAGATAGAAATGCTTTGTTGTGTCTAAGGCAGGCATAGGAAATATGCTTGTCAGAAGTTATGTATGTATGTGCTGGCATTGGACTTGAACTCAGGGCCTCACTGTCTCACTTGGCTTTGTCACTCTACCACTTGAGCCATATCTCCACTTTCAGTTTTTTTTTTGCTGGTGAATAGTACATAAGAGCTTCTTGAATTTGCCTGTGTGGGCTTGGTTCAAACGTCAGTCCACAGATCTCAGCCTCTTGAGAAACTAGTATTACAGAACCTGGCTCCAAATCCTGCTTTTTTAATTAGCCTCACAGGAAAGCAGACATGATAAAGTGTAAGATTTTGTGTAGAAAATGAGATTCATCTCAAATTCTGTTCACTGCTCATTCTAGAAGAAACCATACAACCTGTTTTCATCTGCTCATTCTAAAAGAGACCATACAACCTGTTTTTCTTTTTTACATAGGGAAACCACTCCCAGAATTGGCGACATCCTTCAAAAATTGGCGCCATTCCTAAAGATGTACGGAGAGTATGTGAAAGGGTTTGACAATGCAATGGAGCTGATTAAAACGATGACAGAGCGAATTCCCCAGTTTAAATCCATGATTGAAGACATTCAGGTAACAGGGACAGCTTTGGTCATGCTAGTGAATTTTTCTATATGAATTCTGTGGGGAGATCTGGAGGTTTGTCTGAAACCTGAAGACAAAATCTATTCTTCTCTGCAAGTCATACATGTAAAATTAAAGTATTATTGAGCAGATGCCCCATTCTGTTAAATTCTCCATTTGTTTTTGAAACTGCATGTTATACACTTGTAATAAAAGTGCTTCAGAGTTCCAGGCCAACCTACATTACCTACTGAGACTCTTATCTCAAAAAAAAAAAAATTACTATTTTTCTAGGTGAAGTAAGTTCCAAGTTCTTGCCTTTTTTTTCCCACATTCCGTCAGTGTTGGAAATACAAAATATATGAAGAAGGATTATTACAAACCCCAAGGCTTTGGAAATCTCATTTTTTTGGCCACTTTTCAGATAGGCTCTCGGGCTACATACAGTCCTGGAAATCATTTGACAGGCTAGACATACATGCTTCTCATTAGCTGCCCTCGGTCATCTGCCTGTATTGATAATTTTGTATGACTTGAGCTTGATGCTCTAAACATCCAAGTTCCCCAAGGCTATATATAATATATATACATATATATGTGTATATATATGTATATATATATTATATGTATATGTTAGATATCTAATACATATATGTAATATATGTAAATATATAGAGATCCTGATTTTCTATTTTTATCAAACTTGGGCAATACATTTTAGTAATATTGTAGTAATTTCCATTCTTTAGTCAAAATTCAACATTGTTCATAACTTACTCTGATATAGTTTAAATAGAAAGGGGAAGCCAGGCACTGGCTTACACCTGTAATCATAGCTACTCAGTAGGCTGAGATTTAAGGATCTCCTGGGCAGACAAGTCCAAGAAACATAATTCCAATTCAGCCTGTGGTGTTCTAAAAAGTGCTTCAGTGGTACCCTTTGAATTCCTCTTATTTTAGAACTATACTTTATTTTCCCATTAAGATGCAGCTGAGGTTATCAGGTGTATCTTAATTTAACATAGCTTACTTCAGATCATTCTAGCCTTAGTTCTGGTGAAGTGTACACAATTTGTTCTAATCCTAATATGTTCCTTCCTTCATGCTCAGTGCTATTAGTACAATGTGTAAGTGTGTGCAAGTGTGCGTGCAGGTGAGCTAGGTCCTGGGCTTGAACTCAGGGCTTAGGTGCTGTCCTGGACCTTCTTTTCTCAAGGACAATACTCTTCCACTTGAGCCACACCTCCACTTCTAGCTTTTTGAGTCTTTTTTTTTTTTTTGTCAGTTTTAGGGCCTGAACTCTGGGCCTGGGCGCTGTCCCTCCGCTCTTCAGCTCAAGGCTAGTGCTCTACCACTTCAGCCACAGCACCACTTCTGACTTTTTCTGCTTATGTGGTGTTGAGGAATCGAACCCAGGGCCTCATGCATGCAAGGCAAGCACTCTACCACTGAGCCACCTTCCCAGCCCCCACTTCTAGCTTTTTAGTGGTTATTTGAGATAAGAGTCTCATGGAGGGGTTGGGAAGGTGGCTCAGTGGTAGAGCGCTTGCCTTGCATGCTCAAGGCCCTGGGTTCGATTCCTCAGCACCACATAAGCAGGAAAAAAAAAAAGAGTCTCATGGACTTTGCTACTAGGCTGGTTTTGAACTCAGCCTATGGAGTAGCTAGGATTATAGGTATGAGCCAGTGGCTCCTGATTATTATTTTGTATACATTTGAAACACTTTTATGTTCTTAAAAAATCCAACTGTAGAGTGGGCTGGGAAGATGGCTCAGTGGTAGAGTGCTTGCTTTGAATGCATGAGGCCCTAGGTTCCATTTCTCAGTACCACATAAGCAGAAAAAAACTGGAACTGGTGCTGTGGCTCAAGTGGTAGAGTGCTAGCCTTGAGCTGAAGAGCTGAGGGACAGTGCCCAGGCCTAGAGTTCAGGCCCCATGACACACACACACACACACACACACACACACACACACACACACACACCCAACTGTAGAGTGACACACACACACACACACACACACACACACACACACACACACACCCAACTGTAGAGTGCTGTATAATTATATTTTATAAAGTTAAAGGAGGATATGAAAAAAGTGTCTGTGTGCATAGTGTCTGTTAACATATACCTGTTTTCAGCATGGAGATGATTATTGTTTCTCTTATTGTAGACCACCCATTGTTTTTAATCTGAGAAAACTTGCCTGTATTGGGACTTGAATTCAGGGCTTTGTGCTTGCTTAGCTTGCTCATTCAGCTGATGTTCTATAACTTGAACCATACCTCCAGCCTGGCTTTTTGCTGATTATTTTTTACCAGGCTGCTTTGAATTGAGATCCTCTGGATCTCAGCCTTCTGTATAACCAAGATGATAAGCATGAGCCACCAGTCCCAGACAAAATGTCGTTCATTTTCCTTTAATTTCTTTTTCTCTGTTTTTTAAATTGTACAATGTGTAGTCATCATTCTTGGATGTTTCTTGATTCTTCTGTTGCCTCATCTGTTATTGAACCCCTTTCATTTCAGTTACACTTTTGAATCCCAAAATTGTCATTTGATTCTTTTCTCTGTCTTCCCCTTTCTAATCATAGGTCTCCTCCTTGAAAAATCATCATTTTCATCCATTGTTTTCATGTTCCTTCACTTCATTAAACCTTATTTCATTGCCTTGAACATATTCAAAACAGGGACATTGATGTTCAACAGCTAGACATATGAATGCAATTCTTTTTTTTTGCTTTTTTTTTTTTTTTTGGTCCGGTCGTGGGGCCTGAACTCTGGGCCTGGATGCTATCCCTCAGCATTTCAGCTCAAGGCTAGCGCTCTACCACTTGAGCCACAGCGCCACTTCCGGCTTTTTTTTTCTTTTTGCTTATGTGGTGCTGAGGAATCGAACCCAGGGCCTCATGCATGCAAGGCAAGCGCTCTACCACTGAGCCACCTTCCCAGCCCCATGAATGCAATTATTTTTGCTCCTTTATCAGTTTTCCTTCATCTTTGCATCTCTTTTTTTTTTCTTTCTTTCTTGTCTGAGACTAGAATTTAATAACTCATTGTTTACCACTCAGGTGGTAACCTGAGCCACACCTCCAACCCCTGCCTTTCTCATAATTTTGTCCTAGCCTTGGGGCTTGAACTCAGGTACTGGGTGCTGCCCCTGAGCTTTTTTTGCTCAAGGCTAGCACTTTACCACTTGAGCCATAGCTCTACTTCTGGCTTTTTGATTGCTAATTGGAGAAAAAGGAGTCTCTCAGATTTTCCTACCTAAGCTAACTTTGAATCAAGATCTGCAGATCTTAGCCTCCTGAGTAACTAGGATTACTAGATA